CATGCATTCCTGGGCTGATTTTCCTCAGTCTTTAATTTACTCTAGACTTCTTCTTAGACTTTTCAAATTTGTTTTTAAGGTCTTTATTTGATTTCCTTTGGAATTTTTCAGTTAGGCTGAGGATTATGTGATTATGTCATTTTTATGCTTATCTATTTTGCATCCATCTTCTCGTTTATTTCTTTACCTGGCCTTCCATCCCGTAAAGCACAGCCATCATCTGTTTTATTTGTTCGTCTATCGCTCAAGTTTGAGCTCTAGTCTTGAAAGCCATAAACCTTCATAATTTTACAACACTTTTCCAGTTCTTCTGCAAAGCTTCGTAAAATCCATTAATAATCTTGAATCCCACTTCTGACACCAGTGTTACCGAGATTACATTGTTATTGTCTTCGCAAGGTGCTCGTATTCAAGACATAGCCCGACACTTCTAGCGCTGATCTCTTTTTACAAGGGACACTACAAGAAGCTTCGAGAAACCGCTTCTCTGTTTTCCTGGAAGACGCCTGAAACGTCGTATCGTTTATGATGCACCTGGGTTTACTTCGTAACAATATTTATAGTAGCAGAACAAGGTGTGATCGAGGCACTTAACTATATATTTTTATTTTGTAGAGTTGTTGACAAAGATTTAGTTTGAAATGAAGTCTAAATTGTAACGAGACTAGGAAGGCTGGTGCGTGGGAGAATCAGAAATAATATTTGTTTTAAAATTAAATTAAACTGAATTGATTGATTTTCTACTTGAGCAGTGCTAATCGCAAATCACAGAAAAATGGGATTCTCTTAACATTGGAATTTTCGGCGGACTCACTCACTGGTACCACGGTCCGCAAAAATAAAACGAATCGAACACAACAAAATCCTCAATAGAAACTGACAAAAGGGGATGTAACAAAGAATAACCAATGAGATGTTAAAGATCCATGAGCGTGGATTTCAATCATAACACTGTTGCCACATTTTTTCATGCGTGTGTTGGAACGAATGACCTTCCGGTTCTTTCTCGAATTACGATAACAGGCCATCAAATCACAGTCGATTGATAGTTCCCTATTAAAATTGTCTACAATAAAATACAAATCTATCGAACTACTCCTTGGGGTGAGGCGTTGGTTCGCGACTTTAATTTATTAGAACGTCCAGCTTGTTTATTCCCTTAAATTTCTTCCCACCAAGTTGTGTTATGTACATATGTAAAGTGTGAAAATCGCATCACTTCATTTCCAATACTAACAGGATTATTTTCGCAGTCTAACAAAACGCCAATTTGCCCTTGTGTCCATCCATCATGATCGCTGTTTCAACTACACTCAATATTTTAAATTCAAACAAACAGACAAGCCAGTGACGCTTGACTAGTAATTTATACCAAATCGAGCGATTCCATGTGCGCGAACATTTAAGTACATCAATGGTACAGCATCTCCGAAATCATGGTAGCTTCAAGCTTCAAACTCACGTTCGTGGCCGTGATAGGATCGAAAGAAAATAGCAAGATGAAGAACAAATTTTGGAACGCCCGACATCAGCACTCGTATGAAAAAAAATCCGCGAAGGTTATTTTGACAGAGCTTCCCTCGCTCTTCAAATACAGTATAATATATATATCCAGATTTTTCAAAAAAGTTGTAAGATTTGATTTCTTGAATTTTATTTTATGGTAATAACCCTTATAATTTAAAATAAAGATATGTATGTAATATTGTAGTATATAGTAACAGTAAAGAAGCATGCTAGGCCTTTGTTTCAAATGCTTTTTTCCAATACAAAATTTCATTAATTTTTTGAGTTACCTGTAAAAGTAATTCTAAAACTTATGAGTGTGTTGAAAGACCATAAGTATAAAATAATAATATTTTACATATTTCAGAGAGGATTAATTCCCCAGTAACATTTTATATGTAATAAATATTGAAGTTCTAACATTTAAATAATATAGGTAACGACAGATTTTTTTTAGAAAATCAATATTGGTTTTAAATATTGAATATATATTTATTTTCAATGTTTAATACTTATTTAATTCAGAACATTTAATAAATGCTCTACATATGAAAGGGGGTATGGATATAAAAAAAAACTTGTATGGAATACAATATAATATATTTATTAAATATATTTATTAAATACAAAAATACATTGTCACTGGAAATAATAGTGTATTTGAAACGTTGCGGCAATATTTATACATTTAAAAATTATTTGTCCATAGAACCAATTCGTTGAAAATTTGTAGCAGGTGATTTTTTTTAATTGCTGCTGTAGTTACCCATGACACTTATGTCAGCAGTGAAACTGAAACTGCTGGCATAATAAGCTTCATGGGCAACCAGAGCATAAATTTAAAAAATCACCTGATGTGAAACACAATATAAATTTTTTAAACATAAAAATACACTTCCAACTTACAATGAAATAAAAATACATTGTCAATGGAAATAACAATTTTCTGCTACATTTCAATCGTCATACAGAAATATTTATTTAATATTTATTTGCTCTATAACCAATTCATTGAAAAGCGATATAATTAATTAAAATAAAAAAAATCATACCTCATGTTTTTTTCGATGAGAATTCATTCTTGCTTTTGTCTGCGCTTAATAAGATCCTACCATTTTTTAAATTTCAGCAGTTGTGGCGTTTTTGTGACGTTTCCGTGTGGTACATACCTACAATTAAATTAACTTACAAAGTTCGTAATTTTTAAGAAATCACATAACTTTACATATTGTAGCCTTGTTAATTGTGAGTTCACTAAAAGAGAGCTTATTTTTTTCCTTGCCCTGAAAACTTGAAAGCAATTTGGTTCATTATTAATAATTTCTTCAAAATTGCATAGGTACATGTTTTTTTACATCTTCTCTTCCTGGCAAATAAACATTATTATCAGTCTGAAACTAGTTTATAAATACTAGGAGTTAATAATAAGAATAATAAATGCTTACCAACTCATTCAATTTCTGCGTATCTCCCGCAATTTCTAACTGGATTTCTTCTTTTTTTTGGTTGCGCCCGGACATTCATCATTTTGTCTCTACATTCATAATGTGCTTATATTCATAAATATTAAACCTCTTAAATATACTTACGTGTTGAGAAATTGCATTTTCTGCATTGCTTGTAGAAGTGAGATTATGTAGGTTTAGTACTGTTTTCTTGACAAAACGGTATTTACTACACTATTCTGAATTTATCGCAGTACCGATAATCACAAGTCACAATAGGACAAACAGCATGAACTTACACAAAATACTTTTTGAACCACCAACAATAACAGAAAATATGTATATGTTGCACATTGCGCAAACGCGTTCCAGCAGAGCAGGCGCATCTGTAGGTGAAACCCAAACTTAAGTAAGTTTTATAAAAATGATTAATAAAATTGTTATTTTTTGTTCGCAAAAATAAAAAAAATATTACTTTTTAATGAGCAATTAATAGTGTGCAAAGCGAGATTTCGAATAGTGTCAAATTCACAATAGCTGGTATTTTTTCAAATCAATTTTTAATATTGCTCCAATAAAAACCCTATGACATAAATTACCTACAAGTTGTCCCAACATGGTACTTTTTTTTTCATTTTTGTTGTTCGGTATCTTGATAAAAAGACATTTCATAAATATGTAATATATGTTGAAATTCATATATAAATTTATAAATATAAAATGAATATTATATAAATATTTGTAATATCTAGTCAACATTTAATATTATATCAATCTTGTATAAATATTAGAAAAATATTGCTTGCTACTGGGGTTGGCAAAACTTTGAGATGAAGTCAAGAATTTTTTGAAAGGGGATAAAATAATAAATTCTGAGTCACAGTTTACCATGAATACGATAACCTTAAAACAAATTATCAAGATTCGGTTCTGTAGTTTTAAAGTTAAATTGCAAAACGTTGTTAGTCAATTTTGATTTTTTTTTTCCAAAAATCTGGTTGTCTAGAGTAAAAACTCAACACGGTTTTATACAGTACAAATGTAGGAGTACTTTATTATATTAAATTAAACACAAATTTACCGTTACAAATTTTTGAAATGGCGTCATCTCGTAAGTATGGGTGATCAGCCAAATTTTGGTGAGCCTTTTATTATCTACATCTTATTCCTAATATACTTCCAGTTCCACAACGATCAGTACAGTAGTTTTGGTGATTACCTGTCAAATAAAGATCGACGTAGACAGACCGACAAATTGATTTTGGTAAATGACTGAACAACATTAAGAGTAATCAGTGAAAATGAAGAGGCGGTAGGTGGGCGGGGCTATCGCTTGCTTTAAAAGGTTCTGCAGGAAAAAGCTAAATTTAGTACTTGTTAAGATAAGATTAATTTTGGTAAATGACATATCCTCTAAGAACAAAAAAGGGTGGGTGGGCGGGGCTAAAACTTGCTAAAATAGTACTGAACAATATCAAGGGTAGTCACTGGAACGAAGAAGGGGCAGGTGGGCGGGGCTACTACTTGCTCATAAAACTAGAAATAAGCTAAATTTAGCCCCGCCCACCTCCTTTCCCCATTTCACTGACTTTTTTTATTTAGTGTAAAATGAAAACTGAAAAATAACAGTATTGTATTTCCAAAATTTTCTGGAAAAATGGTCTGATTTAATCAATAAAATAAATTGGCTCATTCATTAATTTTTTGAGCAATGTGTATAACCAAATCTAAAAGATATGAATGCAGTGATATCTAAATCCCAAGTAAAAACTCATTCTCTTTTGCACATCTTGAGTAGAATTTATTCGGAACAGACGCCGCGCCGGTGTGCATAAAAATTAGTTTCTTCATAAAATACCTAGCGAACGTTTGTTGATTTGAATGTATTGAAGTAACAATCAAACACAAATTTACAGTTTGTTGTGTTTGGCTACAAAACCTCGGTACGATTACTGCTACCGAAGAAAATGTTCCCAGATTCCTACAATAAATGAACAATGATGATGAATTTTACAACTTATCTAACATTTTCAATAGTTGAAATATGTATAACGTGTTATTATTCTTTATTTCTAAAAAATTATAATTTAAATAACATCTCTAACATCATCTAAAACATTTTGGTTATAACAATCACAACAGTCTTCTGTTCTGTCCTCCTAACCCACTTCAATTCTTCCCCGACCTCCCAAACCCATAACTCCCATACCCTCCATGTCCACTATACCCCCCACTCGGTCTCCCCCCAATTGGCCTATCAAACGGTCCTCCAGGCCCAACCAAAATCCCATTGTCCGGTGAATGAACAGGCCTGTTGTTTATAGGCCCAGGCCCGTACTCTCCTCGACCTCCTCCTCCTCCCAAACCAAACCCAGACCCAGGTCTAACCGGTCTGAATCCTCCCGGACGTGGCACGTCAACTGGACCTCCTGGTCCCACCAGAATACCATTTTCGATGGAATGGTGAGGACGACTGGGTGGTGGTCCTCCAATCTGGTCTTGCTTTTTGGTGGCGTAACAACAGTATTGTTTGCCCACGTCGCAGTGACCGTAGGAGATTCCAGGTGCCGGGCAATTGAATTTTTCAGTACATTTACATTTGTCGTAGTTTTTGAAGGAACCTTCTTTGACCCATGATGGTATGGGACCTGTGAGGACGGCTGGGTTTGGGTTGTCGGTGTCTGTGGGGTAGTGGGGGTGACCTTGGCCGTAGTTGCCAGAAGTGGCGCCATTGTAGACTCCACCGGGTCTGAAAATGCGTAGAAAAATTAAAAATTGTGTCAAACGTCATTTTGTATAAAATATTGAACAAGTTTTACGATTTTATATGTATCGATATTACTTTAATCTATTATTTAATAAACAAGAATAATAGTACCGGTTGATGTGGTTGATTTCTGGACGATATGCGTGCTCGTAGTACTGTTCGGACGGCCGGAATTGGTGTTCATGTTCGTATACCTCATAGCGTCCTTCCCTAAAAAAGTCTTTAGTCAAGATAGATTCACACTTGTTCTTTTTTCGTACCTGTCAAAATTTAAACGTCCGCTGCTCTCGTCTCGATGGTTGTCGCCCCATACCCATTTTTGGTCGTCTTTGGCTATGGATATGGCGCATAATGCCAATAGAAGGGCTAAAATGATAAACCAGAATTGATTTTTGTTTATTTAACATGTGCTGGTGTTAATTTAAATCTCTAATCGGATATACTCGTACCGCTTTTGATGGAACAAAAGTTTATAAAAACAAAACTAATGGATATAATTACTACATTTATTTTGTAAACAATGTGCGAGTTAAATTGTTTTTGAAAGCATAGTGGGTTGTTTAGTTTCATTAATCAAATTTGCTTACGTTAGTGCAGTTGTATTATTATTTCTTTTTTTTAGAAAAACCCGAACCTGTTTTAGGTAAGATCAGGTGCAAGATTTTAACACAAAAATACTTTTTTGGTCCTCCTTTGTTTCAGAGATGTATATGTTTGAGTAAAGGATACAGCTGAATTATTATATTATGATTTATAACATATATAAATTTTATATATGTTGTAAATCAGATGTCATTATTTTACAAAACTAAAAAAAAAAAATGATGGTGAAATTAACTTTGTTGCAAGGCAGAATCTTTGCATCATCACAACCAAACCGAATAATGGTAAATCTATAATAAAAAATACGTAATAATATTATTTATTTATCTTTAAAGTGGAACTTTCAAAATAGTTTTGTTCTATTTTGATTTCAAGTGGTGTTTTTATGTATTCTTGAACCTTGACTCTTTTTACTTTAGAACGACAAGGAAAACCTGCATATGATGTGGTCCGAAAATAACCTATAATAATTCATTAGATTTTAACTTTAACGGTTAAATAGAAATTGTACAGGGTGTTTATCTCAGATGAATCGGGGAAATTTCTTCAAAATGTTTATGTATAGAAAACAAATTACATAGTAATAAATCTATAATTTAACATTTTTATATTTTTCGTCCTATTTTTTTTTTATATTGTATCTATTTCTTTAAGTTAGATAACACGCGAAATGTGCTTATTGACTGGTAACTTAATTATCAAGTAGATTAAGAAAAGATCAAATAAGACAATATCCAGAAAACAACCGCTATTTATCATTGGTACATACTAGAATACAGTAACATAATTTTTAGCAAGTACTTGTATACAAAACTTAAAGTAATTGGCCATTTATTTTTGATAAATAATTTGGAGTTTAATGTATTAAAACGGAATCATAAAATTTTTAAACCTCTTTGTCACGGTCTCTCCGTTTCCGGTTGCCTTGCAAGTTTTTGAATTAATTTCCTCTACTTAATCACAAAAATAATTAAAACTAATTACTTCATTGTTTTGTATTCATTATTATGACAAGTTTGATATACATGGTGTATCAGACAAGTGTAAACAATTTTAGTCGAAATACGTTTTAGTTCCTATTGTAGAGATTCTAGACATTCTAGAAATTTTAGAAAAGAGAAAAATTTGAACATTATAGTGTTTCACAAATTCTCGGCAATGTAGAGGTAATAGAAGTTTTAGAAACATATATTTTTTATAAATTAAAAAAATAATGGAACTAAAAATATTGAAAAAATTTCAGACAACTTTTCAAAAGTTTTCGAAAATTACTAGATTCATTAGAGCCAAAAATTTTAAGTACTCTGGAAATGATAGGGATCTTCGAGATTTTTGAAATTACAAATATTGTAGATTTTGGGACGGTGTAGAATTTATAAGTTCTGCAATTTCCGAGATATCTGAAGCTCCTTAATTTTTATAAATTTCATTAATTCTATGGGAGTTGATAGTTTTTCGTATCTACATATTCGATAAATTTCAGTTTCTACAAATTCTAGAGATTTTGTAGATTCTGGAGATTCAAGAAATGCCTAAAAATCTACAATTTAAAAGTCTGAAAGTACAACAGTTATTTTAATATCATTCTAGAACTAACAAACTCTAGAAATTCTATAACAACAAAAATTTTTGGATGCCTGTTCTATGGATTCTAAACAAACTCCGAAAATAGAGTTTTCAGAAATTGAAGGAGCTTTAAAGAATCTAAAAATTTTGGACATTCTTAAAAATTTCAGTGGTTTTAAAGATCTGCAATTTAAAAGTCTGAAAATACAACATAAATTTATTTTAATATCCACAGCTGATAGATTCAAGAAAGTTGTTATAAAAATTTTAGAAATTCTATAGATTTTGAAGATTCTGACAAAACAGAGATTTCAGAAATTGAAGAAACTTTGAAGAATCCAAAATTGCGGACTCTTTACAAATTTCAGAGGTTTTAAAGATAGGTATATTAATTTATTTTAGTACCTACAACTGAAAATATCTACAAATTCTAGATAGAATTTTTGAATATAATTTTTCGGGAACATCTATTAATATTGATGGAGAGAAATTCAGAAGAAATAGACGAATGAGACAAATCTAGAGAATATAAAAACAATGACAAAAGAAGACAGAAACAAATAAATTTGTATAGATGTTAACAGATATTAATAGTTTATCGGTTCTCTAGTTATAGTAATTTCGAAACTATATTAAAATACTGTAAATATTATATACTTAATCAACTGGGACATTTTCCTGCCAGGTATTTGCAGGTTTGATTGGCATCATCCTGAATTTAAAACCAAAGAGAATGTTGAAAATTATATTTCTCGTTAAGAAAACAAATTGGAAGTCCAATTATTTTCAAAATTGGATTTCCAAGGACTTTTTCTTTATTCTTTTTTACTTTTTTGTTTAAAAATGTTTATGTATTTTAAATTAAGGTATATAGTCCTCTAGTGAACACTGTGGAAATTGTTGAAAAATTAATAAGAGAAAAAAATAATGTGCAAATTTTGGCGGAAAAACTAAATTGACAAGACAAAGAAGATAAAAAACAATCTAAAAAATATAAAACAAAATTAGGAAACACAAATGTAAAACTAATTGATTTTTAAGCCACGACCTGAAACATTTACGAAAATAGTTCATCATAATAAATAATTCTCAACTTATAGTAAAATTTCAAAAATACTATGAAATTAAAGTCTATATGAAACATTTTCTTTTAAATTAGTTCAAAATTACAGGGCAGACTATGCATATGACATTTTTATTTTAGTAACGGAATTTAATATTATACCAAGAGCGCAATAAAAAACGCAATCAAAGGCAGCCATAGATTTTTAAAGATTTGTCTTTGAATTTTCGCCTTGTCAGATTACCAATTTGAAAGTTTGGGTTGAAAATGCAACAATCAAAGACAAACTTTAAAAAAAACAGCTCTCTTTGATCGTTTCTTTTTATTGCTCGCTCGGTTCATTAATTTCAACGCGACTTTAATAGTGATATTTGAAAAATATATTTTGTATAATTTGTAAATAATAATTTAGCATCCAAAAATAATTCACCATTTTAAACTCTAAATTATACTTTTTAATTGAAACTATATTAAAAAAAATATCTTTGGACTTTGATAAGTACAAGTTTTAAAAGACAAATTTTACATAGAAAAAAATGTAACAAAAACTAAGATAGAAAAACTGCAGGCAAAGGATAGGGACACAACTATAATTAATGTACTGTCTAAAACAATAATTAGAAAAATGAAACATAATTCACAGTTTTTACAGTGATATTAAAAAAACGGAAGTAACAGAATAAAACTAAGTACAGTTTAAAATAAAATAAAGATTTTGGCGGGAAACATAAAATTTGAACACAAAAAATTAGAAACGAAAAAACAGAACTAGTCATCCATGAAACAGTTGGTTAAATGTCCTATAAAAAATCCCATAATGATATATTACAAAAATGTGCAGCATTTCATAATTTTCGTCGAAAATTACATGCATCCATTTGCGATTTAGGTGACAACTGTTTGCAATAATTATGAAATTGTCGTATAAATCACACATACCCAACAACTTTCAAAATTGCTTTTTACCATTTGTGCGTAAGTACTCTTGTAATTTACTCAATAATAATCACGCAACGTACCACGCACCGACAATCCCAAAAATTCCGAAAGCGTATTGTCAAACTACAAGCCGATCGAATTAATATTCACAACCGGCGTGGCCTTTCCAACCCGATACCAAAAGGCCAAACGAACAACCAGGTCAAAAAATCTCTTATACTAGATCACCATCTACACCCGTCGTACCAACAAGGCGCCAAACGTGGGCGATTTTTGAATGACACCAGCGGAACACCATGACACAATTTTCTCATTACACCAAAACCGATCTAGTAAAAACCAGGCGGAACAATCAATCAAAAAACGCTTTCCCTGCGGAAATTACGTAAGTACCGGCAGTACCGTCAAATTTTCAAAAACCGTGCACTCACCGAATTTCAGCACCATTTTCGAAAACACTGCTTGACACGTGCTGGCACTTCTTACATAATCCAAAACAATGCAGACTCTTATATAGTAAGTGGTACGAGTGGAGTTCCGAGGGGGGATCGACCCCCTCTGGTACCGCTGCAGAGGCAGAGACACTCATTAAAATGTAAAATGCGATGGTGTGAAAGTGCATGGTACTATTAATTCATTGGGAATAGGACTCGAAGGTACTATTTGGGTACCGCTGCTCAGGTGGCGTTACGAACATCCTACACATTGCTGACATTGACCCCAATCTGTCCATCGTCTGCAGAAAGTGAATCTGGTCGAGCATTTGTGGGGAGCGGTTGCGGTGCTGTTGGTACTACGAGCGGTACTACAGACAGCCGGAAAAATGTGCCGCTTGGGTGGGCATGATTATACAGGAATTCCCACGGGTGTTGCATTGCTTTGTTAAATTATTTTTTATGGTGCTTGTGTGTAAGGAGAGTAGGGTTTGATCTTGATTGTGACCCTGTACGTGGAAAGAATCATCGAGTGGTCAGTCGGGGATTACGTCAACGACTTTGAGGGAAATTTGAGATTTGTTTGTTGACTCATAGTTCGAAAAGTCGGTTATTAGACCAGAAATTGAAGCGGTTTAGAAAAAATTTGAACATAGAAACGTTCAAAAACTGAAAAACCATAATATAAGAATATATTTCTTTCATATAATTTATTTATGTCTGTACTTACTAATTTAAATTAATAAATTATGAGATATTTCATATTTTAATTTATGTTTTTATAATGTTGAAATAGTAAGTGCAGTTTCTACAAGATAAAATTCTGTGTTTATGTGACAAGGAGAAATACCTTCTAAAAAGGTACTGAAATTGTAAAAAGGCAAATCATGAGAGAAATATGACTCAATGGAATAAAAGCATTTTTACGCACTTGTATGATAATAATGTACATTAGCTTACGTATAACGTACGAAATATTATCTGTATTCTCATTACTTATGGCCCTCAACTTTCAAGTACAGTCAATGTCACATATTACATAAATATAACGCATCTATTTCAGAGCAAATTTTTCAGTATATGTTTATGAATAATTTTTTCAGTGACGTTATCAGTTTTCTAGAGGGAGTGAATAAATGTTTTCTAATTTTTAGAACAATTTTTCGGAGAAATATCTTGCGTACTTTCTGGGCAAAACTACAAGCCTGGATGGATTTAATATTTTTGAGACAATCCGCACACATTATTGCTAAATCTGAAATCAATGAGCACCTTAATGAATTTTTTTGGAACAGTATACAGAGTGACGCTATATAGCCTATTTTTTACCCCATTCGGACGAATGATAGATCAAATGAAATCGTTTCAAAAATACTTCACTGTCATCTAAAAAAAGACGTTTAGTTTACGCAAAAAATCCAAACTCTGTAACTTTTATAAGGACCGGTTAAAGTTCGATGGGAGCGACGGAAGTAAATATTGCAGTGGCGGCTCGTCACCTTTTGAAATGGGGGACATTATTTGATTGATGAGTTTGAAGATATAAAACAGGTTGTTATAACCAATTAATAGACGAAATTGTGTGACGGAAATAAATACAAAAATTGGTCGAAGGTTATTTCGACAGGACTTCTCTCGCCAGTAAAATACAATACTACAATATCCAGCTTTTTCGAAAAATTATAAAATTTGATTATGCAAATTTTATTTTTTTTGTGAGAACCCTTATAAGTTAAAGTAAAGATATGTATATAACGTTAAAGTAAATGTAAAGAAGCGTGCTGGGCGTACGTTCCAAATGAGTTTTCTCTTAACAAAATTTTGTGATGACGTCATCAACATTTTTGCAAAAACATGTATATCATTTTGGATAGGTGTAGTATAATACTAATGACAACAGTATTGTATTCCCAAATTTTCGAGAAAACGGAGTGAGCCGTTCCCGATTTAATCAATAAAATAAATTGACTCCTTCATTCATTTTTTTGAGACACTCTATCTAAGAAATTTAAAAACTTTTAATGCAATGATAAATCACAAGTATAGACTCATGATATTTTGCACATTTTGGATGGGATTTATTCGGAACAATTTTGAGATGACGTCATTAATTTTTTGGGAGGGGACAGACAAATAAATTTTGCTTAACGATTTACCATGATTACGATAGGTTTAAAATATTTAGAAAATTTTAGAGCAATCGGTTTTGTAGTTTCAAAGTTATAATGCAAAAATTGTTATTCAGTTTTGAATTTTTTCCAAAAATTCTGGATGTCTAAGGTGAAAATTCGACACGAACTCACACACCAGAAGTGTCGGAGTATCTTATTTTCAAGGATTAAAAAAAATTATTATAAATTCCCATTGGTGGTGGGGATGATTATCCAAATTTTGGTCATGACAACAATCGGTCCACTAGTTTCGGAAATTACTTGTCTAATAAAAATGGATACACACAGACAGACAGACAGACGGAAACGGGAGACCACTTTTTTTGTACTCTAAGGTACACGTCGAGAAAATACAAAAGTGACAATTTGGTCGATGGACTCGATTACTGTACTTCCTTAGCTTACGTTCGGGAAGTAAAAATACATTCAATAAAAGTAAAAAAGTTCTTCTTCACACTTTTGGTTTTAAATCATTACTGAGGAGGCACACAAAGCAAAACAATTTATTATTTTTTTCACAGCCGCACATCCACAAAAATTTACCATACTTGTTATATAATATCTATGAAAGTCTCGTTTTGCCATGAACACTTTTTTTTTTAATAAATCGGGGGTGGCTGTCCCTAAATTTTTCACAAAAATTTTACCGTCGTAAGACAGGGGACGATTTTTTATTAAATCAATCAACTGAATTCATTATTTTTATTTAAAATCAAACAATTTCACTCGCGCAGAATGAAAATGTAATCTCGCAACTGAGTTACTGTTGGAGCAGGACCCGATTCCAGCCACATACAGCGACTAGACGCACGGTTTCCATGGCAACGGTGTAAACAAAATGTCTAAATGAGTGCCGCTTTTAGTAGCACTCACCAGCAAGAAATCATATATCCAAGATACAACATCTTTAGATGTAAGTTTTGATACATTTTATACACCGGATGATTTTTTTAAAGATTAAAATTTACTATTTTGCTATGTTCAAGTTGTTTGTAGACGTCGTGCTTGGGGCGGAAGGGGGGGGGGGCGTAATCGTGTTCATTGGACGACTATTTTCATGTTTTTTCGACATTTCAAGACCCCCGGAGTACGAAAAAACTCCTCCTCTGATTTATATTTAAATTTAATGATAATAAAATAATAATTACTGCAGTCACAGCTGGCCTAAAATTATTTTCGAGGCGTTTTGCTCCATTGTAGCTTAATTGATTAAATTAATTCTCTCTTCTGTCTTGAGGAGACAAAATCAACCAAATTTCATTTTCTTTTAATGCAGGAGCTTGTTATCGAAACGTGCCTGTGGTCAAATTATTTCGAAGTATAAAAATAAATGTTTTCCCATTCGTTTTCTGTTTCAAACATATTTAATATTTTTAATATGCGAACTGCAGGGGTGTTCTTGACTCCACTGGTTTTTTCTCACAATATTACTATATTATTTATATTTTTTTTATATATAGAGGTTATCCCAAATAAAATGTCGCAAAATCAAATTGTAACATTTTTCAAAGAAGGAGGATTTGTTGGACTGTGCTTCGACGTAAATTTTTGCTTATTGCGGTTATCACAATATAAATAAAATTTTGCAAAATAAAATACTATAATTTTTCGAAAAAAATGAATTAGTTCGATTGTATTTAAGAAGCGACGAATTATTATTAACGTTGGACAAATTTTTGAAACAAATAAAATTTAGACACACTGTAGAAGCACGGGTATGCTATTTACGTAGCACATATAAAAAGAAACATATTTAATATATTATTTTGATGAAAAAATAAGTCTTTCGTTTCCGATTGTCTGCCTGTCTTCTGTCGTCTGTCGTCAGTTCATTTTCTAATCGTCCTCATCAACACTTGGTTGACATCAACTCAAATTTTTTGTAATAAATACTATTTAAATTTAATGAAATAACATACCCCTGTGCCTCTTGTACATGAATCCGCCTTTAGTTTTCTCCATATACATCTAAATTTTGCAAAAAAAAAAATTCAAAATGAATTACACTTTGCAGTAATAAAAGCGACGCCTGGTGGTGTATCAGTTAGAGCGTGTCCTGGTCACAACTCGAAGGTCCTGGGGTCCGATTACCTTATGCGACATTTTTTTCTTACACTGACTGGTATTGTCTACATATTTTTAACTTGTATAGATTTATCATAAACAAGTATTTTTTCCCAAAATTAAAGTGGGTCATTTTTTGATGAAGCCGGATTTGTTGTACTGTACTTCAGGGGCGGAACTCTGTGATAAATAAACAGCAGCGAGGTGAGTTTAAAAACTAAGAATCGGGACATGCGTTTACATGAACAGCACGGGACGGTATCGATCAATTAGTTGGCCGAGTGTACTGCTTTGGTCGATTTCTTTTAACGCTTGTTTTTCATTGCACCTGTCGAAAATTTCAAGCGAATACTTTGTCGTTTATGCAAATGCGCAACCTTCATCACAGTTTGGACAAAGTTATGCACTTCTTTCAATTAAGACCACCGCTCTCTAGTAATAAAACGACTGATTTCAAGTGGTTGGGATCTATTCCCGTTCAGGATAATTATTAAAATTGGTCTTCCTGAACTGAGTCAATGTTTGCAACAAAAAACGGTAAATATACATTAGGGTGATTCAAAAAAAAAAAATATTTTTTTTTTCGTGCAAAGAGGTTCAAAAGTTTCTTTTCAACGTAAAAAAATACCAGTTAAAATTTGAGCTCTTAATATTAATATTAAGACCGTCCGCATCGCGTTTTTCTATTTCCCATAAGAATAACATGGGAAAATTTTTGTTTGCACCTTCTGATTTTTATTGCTAGCCCGTCGTGTGTCGTGAAAAAAATTCAATCACATATTTTTATAGAGAATTGAACGCTCTACAAAAAGTGTCTCCTATGATTGTGCGAGAAACCTGATA